AGTGGCGCTGTGGCTCAAGTGGTAGAGCGCTAGCCTTGAGCTGAAGAGCTGAGGGACAGCGCCCAGGCCCAGAGTTCAGGCCCCACGACCGGACCCCCAAAAAACAAAACAAAACAAAAAAAAAAAAACCCACACACCTGAGCCTAGAACTTAACAGTTTTTAATGTATGATAGGCTTGTTTCTTTGCTTTGGCATGGTTTCATATTCTAAATACTTCAGTGATGCAAATCCAAGGAGGGAAAATTATACTTGGGCTGAAAACATTACCCAGAGTTGCTCACTGTTTCAGAAACCCTGTGGACATGTTAACAGCCCTGCTTGTGATGGACTCACAGATGTAACCTACAAATAGTGGGCTGCAGTATAGCTTTCACACTGTCAGTGAACTGAGTGCACATCTGCCTAGTTAAGTCTTCTAAGAGTCATGACTAACCATTAATAAACAATTGCTTTTATTTCTCCTTTAGATTATAACTAGGCCACGATATTGACCTAGAAAGTCACTGGACAGAAACAGGTCAATTTCATGTGAAAGAGACTCAGAGAGGGCCTTGCAACACTGTGCTCAATGCCATGGTGCACAACTGTAGCTCAGCTATTCAGGAGACTGAAGCAGGAGGATCCCTAAAGCCCTGAGTTCTCTGTTTAGCCTGGGCGACAGGGATACTCTGGGTTTGCTAGGTCTGAGAATCACTGCTCTAGCCATTCCCCAGGGCCATTACCCTCCCAGTCTGTTATTAACTAAAGGAACAGGAAGCTGGGGGTCACTGGAACCTCATCTAGAACAAATGGAAAATGGGCTGCGTGCTGCATGGAGTATTTCCTTTGGTCAGTTGCTAAAAATCTCTTGCCAGTTTCTACCACTCAGAAATAAATAGATGAACTGTCATAGGTAACCTCTGGAGAGGACAGGTAAACATTTACAAGCATACTTCAAGTGGCATCCGGACTCATGAATATCTCTTGGGATATTGCCACTGAAAATAGAAGCATCCTGGCTCATGGTTTAGTCTGTTTTCAAGAGAATGCTTGCTTAGGGCTCATAAAGCGCAGGTCTTCCACTTCTGAACTAATCCAAAGAACGATTAACTTGCTTAATTTGTTACAGTATTTAACACTGTAGTTTTCTGCGAAACTACCTTAAAAATCAACTTCTCCTTTAAGACATGTTTTTTTATGGCAGCAGTGTTTCAGTAGAGGAAAGAGCATTGGACTTGGAGTCAGAAGACTAGGATCTGAGTCCCGACTCTGCCACTCATTGGCCATGTGGCATTACAAGAGTCATTGAGCCTCTCTAGGCCTCCATATTTTTCTGTTAAATACAGAGTCATTTAGCCTCTCTGGACTTGTATATTTTTCTATTGAATATCGGCCACAATTAACTCTACAGAATTGTTGAGCAGGAGGTAACAGACTTGCTATGCAAACTTATGGAATTGTTAAACAACACTGTCAGTCTTTGAAGTGTCATGGTGTGGTTTCTAACGAATCTGGCTTACAGCTAGTGTTAAGGCTGCACTTGTATTACAAGTCGGTGGTAAGCAGACCCTTCTCCTACCTGCGAAATTCCATCGCTTGGCGCAGTCTTTCAAAGCGAACTAAATGTTCTCTCAATCTTTGCTCCTTCATCTTTTCAAAAGGCAAGATCTCTTTCCTTCTGTAGTCTTTGTCCCTCTTTTTATCTAGGCTAGCCCTCTCCTTTTCCTTGCTTCGTCCATGAATCTAGGAAAAAAAGTTATGCGAGGACTAGAAGTTAAGATAATTCGGTGGTTTACTTTTTCAGATTTAGTTGGTCATTTTAAAAGTTCGCATGGTTAGCTGCATTTCCTTTTTCTTAAAGTCTTCAAGCGTGAAAACACATCAAAAGTTTTAGCCTGAAACTGTGCCCAAAACATCTCAGCAGTAACAGAATCCTCTTTTGGAAGCAGCTGAAACCATACAGAGCATCCACTTAGAAACTTACTTTCTCGTATCGTCCTCTTCTTGACGGCCTACAATGATCTGCCTTGGTTTGGTCTAGTATTACCATGTGACCTGGACTCTTTGAACCTATGGGAAAACGAAACAAAACAAACAAAAGAAGCATACTTTTTAAAATAAGCCAGTGAGTAAAGAACTGTGTTGCAAGAAAATAAATGGGGCTGGGCACCAGTGGCTCATGTCTATAATCTAGCTACTCAGGAGGCTGAGATCTGAAGATCACAGTTCAAAGCCAGTCCAGGCAGGAAAAGTCCATGAGACTCTTCTCTCCAATGAACCACCAGAAAACTGGAAGTGGTGCAGTGGCTCAAGTGGTAGAGTGCTAGTCTTGAGCTGAAGAGCTGAGGGACAGCATCCAGGCCCAGAGTTCAAGTCCCACAACTGACAAAATAAGAACTCAGGGACAACACCCAGGTCCCAAGTTCAAGCCCCACAACTGTTACCAACCCCATTTTAAATCAGTTCAATTTCCCTTTTGCTTTTTCATTTTGGCTATATCCCCAGCCTAAGGCAGGCAAGCTCAAAGCTAAGCTGGGAGAGCTTAGCTGGAAGAATGGATAGGAGAGGACGGCTAACAGCACAGATTCACTCTCTACCTGGGTATCTGTGTGTCCCCCCTCCCCACTTGGTAATGCAGGTGGCATTATGTAAGAGAAAGGGAGGGGTAGGAGCCAATGAACGTACTTATTCGCTTCTTTTCTTCACTTCTTTTCACTGGTTCTGAAGTTGTGCCACTGGCTCCACTATCATTCTTTTCTTCTTTACATTCTGCTTTCTTAGTGTCCTTGCTTTCTTTCTTTTCAGATTTCTCAGATGATCTTTTCTCTTCTTTTTTGATAGAGGCTTGTGTCCTGACCATATCACCCAAGACAAAAAAATAGAATGAGAACTACTTTTGTTAATGTAACAAGTCGATCCACTTATCAAAAATAAATAAATCAAGCTAGGTGCTGGTGGCTCACTCCTGTAATACTAGCTATGCAGGAGGCTGAGATCTGGGGATTGTGGGTCAAAGCCAGCCCAGGCAGGAAAGTCTGTGAAACTCATCTCTAATTAACCACCAGGAAATTGGAAGTGGTGCTGTGGCTCAAGTGGTAGAGCGCTAGCCATGAGCTGAAGAGCTGAGGAACAGTGTCCAGGCCCAGAGTTCAAGCCCCATGATTGATAAATGATAAATCTTATCCCAGCACCAGTCATATTTCAAAATATATTAATGCTTACTTGTTACTTCTATCATTCATAGTTTTTTTATCGCCAGAATTTCTTGAGCTATTCTTTTCATCATTTTCTTTCTTCATTTCTTTCTTACAAGGATCACCTTTTACCTAAAAGGGGTTAAACCAGAACGAAATCTGAAAACCTTAAAGTTACATTTTTCTGATTACAGAAAGAGTGCTGAGCTGGCGTGGTGACATCTCCCTGTAATCTCAGCATTTGGGAGGCAGAGGCATGCAGACTCTGAGTCTGAGGCTAGCCTAAGTGAGACCCTTTCGCAAAGGGCTAAACTATAGCTCAGTGGTAGAGTGCAAAGGACAGAAAATTATATAGATGAAAATAAAATTTAAAATAAATACATCAGGGGCTGGGAAGATGGCTCCATGGTAGAGTGCTTGCCTTGCACGCATGAGGCCCTGGATTCATTTCCTCAGCACCACATAAGCAGCAAAAACCAGAAGTGGAGCTGTGGCTCAAGTGGTAGAGGCTCTAGCCTTGAGCTGAAAGAGCTGAGGGACAGCGCCCAGGACCAGAGTTCAGGCCCCATGACTAACAATAAATCAATCAATCAAAATAAAGCTAGTTCTTAACTATTTTTTTTGTCAGTTTTTGTTGTTTTTTGCCAGTCCCAGGGCTTGAACTCAGGGCCTGGGCACTTTCTGAGCTTCTTTGTGCTTAAGGCTAGTGGCTCTACCATTTGACCCACAGTGCCACGTCCAGCTTTTTCTTTTTCTTTTTTTTTTTTTTGTCGGTCGTGGGGCTTGAACTCTGGGCCTGGGCGCTGTCCCTCAGCTCTTCAGCTCAAGGCGAGCGCTCTACCACTTGAGCTACA